GAACAGGAGGACAAAAGATGCCCAGAAAAAAGAAGACCCACTAGAGGACCTAATGTGATGGTGCTCTGGGAGGAAAAACAAAAAATTATCTTAAGAAAGATACTGCAAGACAGAGAGAAAGACAAAGCAAAACTCCACAAAGCTGTTTAAGGGGAAAAAGGTATTAATGGTACACTGCTGGGGTCAGTGAATTAATTTATAAAGCCATGGTAATGCATAAACTGTACCAATATTACTAAAATTAGTTGTAAAATTCTATTGGGAAAATATGGGAAGACATAGGCTGAGAGCTAAATCTTCATTTCTTTCTAAGAGGAAGTAAATATAGGTCATGTCTAAATCTGTTAAATCAAGACAACAGTATAAACACATTAATTGGAGGTGTGAAGGTATTTACCATCACTAAGAATACAAACTGATTGAGTGCCTCTGGGATAGGGGCCTGGAGGGTGGGGAGGAGCAGGACAAGAGATATTTTATGCATTACAAATATTTTGATGTGATTTTTCCCCAGATGCATGGATTGATTTGACAATTTTTAAAAGTGTATAAATGCACATGCCCAAAAAACCACTTCCAGAAATTGGGTGTCAATAGGCGCAGGGTCACAGGAATCTGCATCTTTAAAAAGCTCGCCAGGTGATTCTTGCAAAATTAATCTTATGCCTCTACTTCCAGAAACACAAAGAACAAGGTAGCAACCAGCAAAAGGGCAGTAACCGTGATCTGCGGAAATGGAGAAATGCCGGGAGCTAGAGAATGTCAGGATGCTAGTCTCCCAGTTTCTTGCCATTTTACTAATAACATGGATATGTTTTAGAAGAGGGCAAATAAAATCTAATAGGTTGTGAGTGACCTCATAATTCAACCCCTACCTATAGAAGAACCACAGAGAGGCCAGCTTTCCTCCCTCTTATATTTCTTGAAAACCTCAAGACTCGATTCAAAAATTAGCCTCGGGAAAAACAGGAGACATCATGTAACAAGAGAAGCTTTTTAACTGAAGGTTGCTAGATAAATAACTCTCAAGACTTTGCAGTTTCTACGTAAGCCTTAGTATATCAATCTTGATTTTAAAAATAGTTTAAAGAATATTTCCAGGATCTCTGCTGCCTACAAATGATTGCCAGGAGTGTAGAATACTTAATAATCAAAGGTTGGATGGTTTCTGGGCACTATGGTAATTTCTTCGAAGAAAGCTTCTTCTAGAACATTGTAGGACCATTGGGGATTGGCTCAATTAGTTTTCAAAAAGCAGCCAGGGGCACAGTGTCCCCATTTTCCCCTGTTCTCTACCCCTTCCCATGAAGCAGTGCTGACTGAGAAAGAAAGAATTCCCATCCTACTCTTGTTTTTACTGTGTAGGACCCTTGGTCAACTTTTTAGTAGAGTGGATCTTTCTTTGTGTCCACACAAACTATTGACATTTCTTTGCCTAGATTAGAGATAACCTAGAGCTAGAAAAATAGATTCAAGTATTTTCATGCATATTTCAATGTCAAATGAGACCACTCACCGTTTTTAAGACTTTTTTATTTATTTGAGAGAGAGACAGAGACAGAGAGAACATGAGTGGTGGGAGGGGCTGAGGGAAAGAGAGAGAATCTCCAGCAGACTCCCCACTGATCCTGAAGCCTGACTCTGGCTGATCCTACAACCCAGAGATCATGACTAGAGCTGAAACCAAGAGTGGGATGCTCAACTGGCTAAGCCACCCAGGCACCCTGAAACCACACACCTTTTAAATACTAATGATTTATCACTCTATCTGTAGTGTCTATTTAAAAAAAAACTTGAGGCTCACTTATAGATGAAGTCATTACAAAAAAGGAAATTAATTTTGTCCCTAACATGTTTTTGTCTTTTTAGTTCCCTCTAGAAACTGGAATGTTGGTTTGTTTTTGCTTTAATGGTAAGCTATTGGTCCAATTAGCATTGACCAGGTTATGCTGTTAAAGTGGAATTCAGCCAATTCAAATTTCACTTCTTAATTTCTAAGTGTATCCAACAGTCAGTCCGTCCATCCGTCCATCCATCCATCCATCCATCCATCCAACCATCCATCCAACAAATACTTATTGAGCACATGTTCTTTGTCTTGCACTGTTTCAGGTTCTAGGGACACACAAATCAAGAAAACATCAGCCAATAGAGTAGAGCTCTATGCCTAATTGGTTGAAAATTTATATGAGAAATTTATATGAGAAAGATTTTATATATACGTATTCATGCATTTATGAAATCTGTTTTTTAGTTGAGGATATATGACTACATACTATTCTTCGATATTTCCTACATGTCATAATAGTTTGTCTTTACCAGTTATGATTATCATTTTATTTGATAGTTCACATGAATACCTACTGAAGTTGGAATATTGCCATAGGGCTGTGATGGCATATAAATCTTTATCTAGGTATTCCCTACTACTGTGCCTTTGCCTATGTTGTTTCCTCTTCCTGTGGCTCTCATTTGTCTACCTAGCAAACACCTCTTCATCATTCAAAACTCTGTCAGGCATCATCTTCCCTACAGGGCCCTCCCTAAGCACCTCCCAGTGGACTCAATCTCCCAGTCCTCTGGCTTATTTCTGGACTTTGTACATATTTTTATTATTGCATTGATGTAAATATTCATTAGCTTGCTACTCATTATTTCTATAGTGTAAGCTTCTTAAGGATAGAAACATTTGTCTCTTCATTTTTGCATCCCTAATAATTAGCAGAATGTCTGGGATGTATGGATATTCAAAAAGTATTAGCTGAATGACCTGAGCAGCCATTCCTATTACTACTTATGGAATATCACAGAAATGTGTGTACATTTTATTTTAAATTACTTCACAATTAAAAATAAACATTTAAATTTCCCGAGTATTTTATAAGCAGTAGATTTCAACCTTTTATGGCATTCTTTTCTGATGAGAGAGATTATCACTTCTATAAAAGCCCAATAAGATTACATGGTGAGGAACACACTTTTCTTTTTAAACATTTCTGTTCCTTCCTCCTCCCACTCTCTTGATTTCATGCCAACCTCAGGGTTATTGCAGAGTCATCCTACTCATATTGTGTTACAACTTCCTGTTTATCTATTGGAGGCCCTTCCTAGACGTAAACCCCTTGAGAGCCGGGCCTTGTCCTATCCATCTTTGTCGCCCTTATGGACTGTGATGTTTGTGAAAGTGAGGAGCTGAACACATGTTTCCTGAATGAATGAATGAATAGGAATAAATTTGAGACAGTGGATAGCATTAAATCCTAGGTTCTTCTTTCTGTTAGGACCTGTTTTGGATTATGTTAAATGAAGAAAATCTGCTAAATTCTAAATAAAAGCTTAGACTGTGTGTGTGTGTGTGTGTTATACCAAACTAGCAGAATGAGTACGAAGGGAAAAAGCCTTGCTGGGCAAATGTCTTTTTTTGCTCTAAGTTTACACTGAAAAAAGTCTTTTGTAGTTTTGAAACATGGAATAGTGGGTAGGATCAGAGAAAAAAAATAACTGTTCCTTATTATGAAAAGAAATAGGTTTATTAAGTATTTCACTGAAGTTCAAAAGCTTTGGGGATCCCTGTCCCTCTACTAAGATGGTATTAATTCTGTAATTTCCTCTTATGCTAACTGTAGGCAGTAAGATGATTTTTAGTTGAGTCATTTGATGTTTCTCTGTGATTTTTTGGCACCATGAAGGTGTGGATGTTTAGTAAAATATCACCAGATGAACAGTAGAGTTGGACATGCTCTAACTTAACTCTTAACAGAAAATTATGTACACATGATTTTTACAGCTGTAGAGTTTGAAAAATGTGGTGGGTTAGTTTTAAACTTCGCTCAACTTTTAAGGAGATGTAACACCTATTAAATGGATTATTATCCACTAGTGAGTGGGAGTGACAAATATGTTCATTAGGTGACCTTGAAAAGCAGTTATTTCTGGAGGAACCATTTACTAAATGGTACTACAACAATTCACAAATATACAGACCACATAGATGTGATAACTTTTCCTCAAAAGTAATTCTCTAATTTGTATATCTACTAAGACACATTAACTTTGGCGAGTTGATATCATAAATTAAATCAACACTGAAAAATGTGTAACGGTGATATGGTTCTTTGGAGATACAGTTACTGTACTTTATAATATTCTTTCTAATGTATTTCAAAAACGCTACAAAATTCTTGAATCAGTATTTTAAATACACAAGATCAAATCTGATTTCTTCTTTTTTTGTTTTTTCCCCAGATAAGGAAACTAGCATTTACAAGTTATGGGATTAATCCAAGGTCATGGGCCAGGTAGGAGAATTTAAAATCAAACTGCAAAACCAGACTTAGTTCATTACTTTTTTCTCTACCACTGTGGACCTTTCATATTTTATGCTTTTGTGCCTTTAACAATTTGCCTCCATATCTCCATGTTCAATGAATTTTGATTATAATTTGATAGACATCCAAGCAACTGCGTGTGAAAATTGATTCATAAGAACTACAGAAAAAAACCTTATATATTAAAACATTGATGGGGACATATAAAGATGAATACCATTCAAATTTTTTTTCTATGAGATGAGCATGCATATTTAAATATCTAACCTGGGCAATTCAGCATGAGAATATCACGACATTAATACAGATTTTAAAATATCAGTGGTTGAATATAAGGTAGAGTAGTATGAAATGTTAATCACATCTCTAAGAAGGAACTCTAAAAATAAATTAGAAAAGTGTCAATCTCAAGAGCCCATTAAATCCAGCAAGTAGAAGGGCCAGTCTGAAAAAATGAGACAAAAATGATATTTAGAGCTATTTCCAAAATACTTCAATTTAATACTCCTAAACTTAGGAGAAACATCATTTCTGGTTTCCCTAAAGTGAAGTGATCTTTGACCTTCAAATTAAAAACACAGAAAGAAGCTCCTCCTATTTGCCTTGGGGTGGGGAGGGGGGCCTGGAAGAAAGATGTTGTAAAACAAATTTCTAAAGCAGTAAGGACCTTACCTGTTTCCATTTTCCCATCCTGTGCTGCAGGCCCATCTGGAATCACACTTTTCACCTGCAGAAACTCATCAGGCTCATCTCCACCAATGATGGTGAATCCAAAACCCATGTTGCTCTTTTTTAGGGTGGTGCTGAGGAATGTTCCCTTCAATTGGGATGCATCCCGGGTGAAGAGTGGTTTTTCTACATTGGTCAATATAAGTTAAAAAAGAAAAAGCATATTTAAGGCAAGTTCTTACATAGGGGAAAGCCAGCTCCTGAGAAGCCATCCCAGGGGTAAGTGTGGGTGTCTCCTGTAGTAAAAGCAAGCAGGTGGTGACTGCAGGAGCTGAATTTTTAGTACTTCCTGCAAATACAGAGCAGTCCCAAGCATCCAGGAAAGGTGAAAAGCTGTGTGGTTTGTAGATTTTCGGTCAAGTCAGTGTTTGCATTCACCAAATTAGCCCTTCTTGGGCTTTTTTTTTAAAAAGGGCCAAATCAACAGGCCGTCAAAGGCTATAGATAAAGAGGAGCCCAAATCATCCAGACACATCTGGATACTTTCGTCCTGTTCTAAAGGAATCCAAGCAGGAGGTATGCGTGAGTGGCTGGTCCTGCACAAAACTCTGAAGGGATAAAACTGGAAAACGAGGATGGACTGTTTTATTTTTTAAAAGAATAAGACCCATGGAATGCTACCATCTATTCAAATATCTAAACTATTTAGAAGGATCACCTGGATGTGGGACTGAGTTAACTTTTGCTTATATTGTGAGATGCTATAAAGATAACCAGATAAAGTTCTACTGACCTCAAAGTGTTCTCTAAGATGTGAGGAAAAGGCAAGCCAACATTTCTATATATCATTATGAATGTAAAGGTAACACATTTTGTAACAATACGTTGATACATTCGAATCATATACCTAAATAATCTGACCATAATTTGGAATCACTCATTTAGGTCTGACCACTAGTTTGTTACATAATATGCTTTTCCAGCTATGATCTGTAATAAACATATTCCTAACCATATTAAATGCTTTAAAAATAATAGTCATGCTAGGAAATAGAACTAATATTTGCTTTAAATGCTATCTCAGTCAAGTGTGTATATATATACACACACACACACACACACACACGAAGTATATACATGTGCATACACGAATACATTCAGTTATTACATTTTCGGTCATATGATTTGATGTTTGTAACAGCCAAACCGTACATAGGAACTTAGCTAAGTATTTTGGTGCTTTTGCTACTGTTACATCTTGGGTGATATGTAATAGATACAATGAGTCATCGTACGAGAATTTTACTTCATGTATTTATACATCACATAGATCTGCACTAAAAAAATTAAATATAATCATTCTCTCTTTTATATTTAAGTTTATTTTACATTTTTTCCTTTAAAATGCAAATGAAAAATGCATATGGCCTTGCCATCTACGTTTCCTTTATGAATGTAACATTTATAGTCGGAGAGAAGTTACCGTGAGACCTTTACATTCATGGCATTTGTGCTGAAGGGGTGTGGTATTCGTGCTTTCATTTAGGAGTATGAGCCCACAAGACGTGAGAAGTTTGTGCAGCAACTCATCCCACTACGAGGCTCCAAGTTGTGGGCAAGGGCAGCAAGCAGCCCTGGACAGACAGACGGACGTACCGAAGGGCCAGGGCCTCCCGGCGCGGTCCCACGGATAGTAAGACAAGTCATTCACACTGCGCGACCTCTCAGGGACCGCGCGGGGGCGGGTGGAGGTGGGCTTAGGTAATGTCGACCAGGAACCGTCTACTGTCACAAAGGAAAACAAGCCTTATTCTTGTGCGTGGTCTTTTGAGGACAAACCTAGGAGTCTCTATGAATCTGCACTTTACAGTAAGTACTACTGTCAAAACCCACGAATCTCCACCTGGCACCTTGTTGCACATTCCTATGAGGTACCACCGGAGGCTTTAACTTAATCCACGGAGCAGAGCAAACATCCAGCTAAAGCTAAGAGAGGGGTTTGGGGAAAGCAGATTGATCATTTGAAATAGTCCCAGCTAAAGGCATATTTGGAAGAGCAGGCAGTTTGGTAGATCATTTTCCCCTTTGAAACGTGGCGGGTGGACATGGTACTCACCTCGGAAAGCCGGGGCCTGCAGGGGCTTTGTTCCAAGTTCTGTGTGGGGCATGTTATGCTGCTGTAGCTTCCTTTTTGCTTCCAGGACGGGGTTTTCAAACTGTGTTCTTCTATTTATGTGGCTGAAGAATAAAATTTCAAATTAGGATAACAGTGGGGCAAAGTCATTTAAGAGAACATATGTAGAGCTCTACAAGAGAGCGGGTGATTAAGGGACACCTTACGTGATCCGTCAAATGCCCCACCAGGCATGAGGTCAGGCCTCTGCTGGGGCTGGCCTGCGTACAGCGCACATTTCGGTATCAGGAGCAGAGTTCTCAATGCCTCGATCATATGTTATTATATTTAAATTATGCATGACTCTGCCAAAAGAACTAGAATGTGCACTTGCTTTCTAGTCTCCTGTGTTAGTTTGAGATGAGTTTGATGCATCAAAATAAATGGTCAGCAAATGAAATTTATACCAAATGGTGTTGCCAAGAGTATCATCTAAGCTTTGCAAAGTCCCCATATCTAACAAGATAAGTTAAATCCACTGGTGACTAGCAACCGGCACCCACACTTTTTAGAGTCAGGCCGACTTGGATTGAAGGGCTGGGATAGAGAAGGAAAGACTCCCAAGGATATTTGCAGAAGTCGTAGAATACCTGTAGGGGGGTTGGTGCTCACGTCAATCAAAAGGAGGGTATTCACATTTGACATAAGGAGATGATAAGCTCATAGATAGCAGACCCCACGTGGCTTGAAACAGCTGTGGATCAGCTAACCTGAGGGCTGATGGCATAAGGATCCCTTACAGTCTCCTTACAGTCTAAAGAATTCTTGTATGAAATTCAGAATTCCTTGTCCGTGGAGAGGGTAAGAACCAACAACGCTGCCTAGTGGCAGGGACACATAGCTCTTTCTCTAGGATATAAATGCCCCCGTGGGAGGGCTGGCATATACACTGGTTTTTGTTCTTTGTACAGATAGAATTGGATTATGGTAGGAAAGCCGAAAAAGCAAAGAGGAGTTAGAAGACGAATGAACAATTCTGAGTACTTAACTCTGTGCTAAGTACTGCAGATATATTTTCTCAATGTAGTTAAGCAATAGTCTTCAACTGGAAACATTGCTATTTTAAAGGCAATGAGCCTGACACACAGGAGGTCTAAATCTCACGCCCAGTAAGTGGCAAGGCTGGGATCTGACCATGTCTATTTCTAAAATGCAATTCTTATCTACACACCTTCTCTTTTCAATGTATGAGTTATCACTGGCAAGTGCACACTTTTTTTTTTTTTTTTTTTTTAAGATTTTCTCTGAGAGAGAAAGGGAGATTGAGAGAGAACCAGCAGGAAGGGGAGGGGCAGAGGGGGAGGAACAAGCAGAGTCCCTGCTGAGCGGGGAGCCTGATGCAGGGCTTGATTCCAGGACCCTGAGATCATGACCTGAGCAGATGGCAGACACTCAACCGACTGAGCCACCCAGGGGCCCCATTTGCACACATATTTAATGTGCATGCACACACACACACACACACACACGGAATCCTCTCATTATGTCTTCTAAAAGTATGTGATCAGAAAGAAAAGGAGGTAAAAGAAGCAAAGTCTCAACAACCCATTTTCTATTATTATAAATCAGATAATTCCTAGCGAGACAGAAAAGCAGTCTTCGGAAACATGATAAGATGACTGCAGTATCTAATTACTTCCTCGCAGCAGGCAGGGCAGGGTAGCTGCCTGCCACACAGGCTCCGGAGTCCATTGGCCCTGGATTCAAAATCTAGCTCTACCCCTTGATTAGCTGTGTGATTTAACCTTCATCTGTCATATGGACATACTGTTGCCTTCCTCCTGGGGAGGTTGTGAGGGTTCGAGGAAGAAGTGAATGCTGCTTTAGTAACTAGTAGGAGCCACCTGCCCCCACCATCACCGCGTTCTCATCACCATCACTGTCAGCATTTTGAGTCCAGAAGAGAGGCTTTATGGGCTGGGGGGGATTGAAGAGCATGAGGCCCTTTCTCTAACATTGCTTCTGGTGCTATTTAGGAAGAGGGTGCTTTACCACAACCTCCCTTGGTACTGGAAGTCACCAGGTTGGAGTTCAAAGTAAATCTGTCTTACGTAAAATTATTTCCCATTGGAAGTAAATACTACTGTAATGCCCTTGTGCACCAATGAGTCACCGTGATCTGTGGCATGTAGTGAATGATGGCATGTGATCTTTCAAAGCTTCTTTGCCCGGGAGACTCTGACAGCCCCACTGGATTTCAGAAGGATCAGAGTTTGAGGCCTCTCTTGCCTTTTCTCCATTTTCGTGTAACCCTCTTATTAAAATCCTTTGAAATCTTCCTATTACCTAAAGAAATATTATTCCTGGCTTTGCCCTTCCTTATCTCTGTAGCTTCCCCTTCGGCTGCAAGACCCCACACCCCTTTTGCACATACTTGGAGCTACTCTGGTTGACAACACCGTGTCAATCCCCTTATCCTTCCATGTGAATTTCAGGGTGGCAATATGGTAGCGCTTGAAGCAAGACAACTGGGTGTGAGGTGGTATCTTGGACAAATCACTCAGCTCCAGAAGCATCAATATTGTCGTGTGGAACATGAGGACATTATTATCTGCTTATTGGGATTGCTGTGAAGATCAGAGAAATAATGTGTGCAAAGCACAGATCCATAGAGAGGACCCCACAATTGGAAGGTATAGTTATTGTTTATTCTTCAAGGTCTAGCTATTCTTTATTACTATTATTAACAAGGGCTGCTGTCAGGGTCATTATGGTGATGCTTTTCCCATCTGCACTAGGACTCCTTCCCTACCTCCCCTAGCAACACGGCCAGCCTGTGTTACACTCTTTCCCTTGGCTCTCATAAAACCTTGAACAGACTTCTCTTTTCACAGTTTATTTATTTATTTATTTTCTTATAACCGGTCTCATTATTAGGAGGATTTGCAGCACTTTTAAGGAACAAAAACAACAGAAAGTAAACAAAATCAGGGTGACATTAGTTGAATCTAGGTAGAAGATCAATAGACAAAATTGATCATAGAGGCTCTTACTCATTTACTAACATTATGTTATAAATTAGCTTTGAGCTTTCAAGCTGCTAATTCAGTGGGAGAGAGAAACTGGTTATATTCTTCAGAGTATTTAAGTTAAACCCCCAAGACATTCAGAGGACATAGTATTCCTGTTACTGAGTCTTATATTTTTTTTCCCCAAGTCTTGGATAGAGAGCTTTCCCTGATGTAGTTAGCATACAATATCCTAAATGATAATTTCATAATAATGAATTTCACAAGCTATCATAACCTTATCGCATTGTCTTTTAGAAACTTTCATGTTTATTTCCTTCTATAGATTATGCACATCTGTATACAGGTTCTATGTGTTCATCTTTGTATGCTACGCATTGGACACAATGCAAGATGGTGTTTTTGTTTGTTAAATAGCTAAATGATGAGTGTGTGTTTTAAGACTTGTTTACTAATATATGTTAGTGATTTTGAGCAACCAAGAAACAGCTTTGAAGTGTACTGAAGGATCTGCTCTCTTCATTTCCTGTCCTATTTCTGTTCTGCTAGGTCACTGTTCATCACACAAGTAACTTTATCCTCAGAAAATACATTACAAGAACATTCTGGAATACATTTCTATATACAGTTGGGTTCCTCCAACTGCCATCTGCATGTAATTATTTCCTTAGAAAAGTCAACGTATTGCCACCTGTTTGATGGACACTATTTTGAAAATACTCCATTCATCATCAAAGTGAGTTTCTAGAGTTGACAGGGAATGAAAATACCAATGAACTAGTTGGCATGCCTTGTATCCCACAGATAGTGGAAGCTGGGTGTGGCTTTAGTATCCTAAACTAATTGCTACAGAACATTCACATCGTCACAAATGAAGACATTCATTTAAAATGTAAAATGCTCCCAAGCTTAAAAAGGCCTATCACAAAGAAATATGATTGTAGCTGAATAAGAAAGCCTTGTCTTCCTTGTGCTTCCAAATGAATAGTTTCAAGTCCTTTTAGCAAGGATTTGGGGGTCTTACAAAGTGTACAAAGCATGTGAATGACAAATGCCATCATCCTGCTCATTGTTTAGGCTCTGTGAGATAATTGCTAGCTATTTCATCTAGCTTGCATATAAAACAGAACCTGGGGTGCTACCAAGAGTTCTTACCCTTTAATTATATCTAGTCTATTGTCATATTTTACTAATCTTCAGGTGGCATGAGCTAAGGGGATAAAAGTGATATTCTGCAGTGGGTATATCCTAACAACCCCATTTTTCCTTCACAAAAAGGAAGGACTATCGACGTGAGATGCCTCCATGTTGGAATGGCAAAGGGATTAGGATGTTTAAAGATAGGATTCCACTGCCTTCTCTCTTTGCTCTCCTGTTCACTCACTTGCAGCTTAACTCCCTCCTTTCACTATGGAATGGAAACTTAAAATAAGTTCCTATGTGGCAGTGCTTTGTAGTTCTGAATGAACCCGAGGAGCCTAAAAACAAGCAAACCAACAAAAGCAAAAACAGAAAAGACTCAGTCCCACCCTAAATCAACAGAGCCATAATCTCAGAATGAGGTAGAGGCATTGGCATTAAAAAACCTTCCCAGGCAACACCACTGTGCCTCGAGGGTTGCAATCTCCCCCTGAGTTAGAAACTGAGAAGGTGCGAAAAAGAGTTTCTTGCCTGGAAAGATTTATGTGGAAGTCTCTTTCTGTATGTGGCCTTGGGGAGTACGAGGAAGTGCTATTTTGGCTCCAGAAGAGAGGACTTCTGATATCAGAAGTTTCATAACATGCACAGAGGGGAAAAAAAAAATATTTGCAGCTGATCGGATGATATGCTCCCAAAAGGAGTCCCAGGTCAGTGTCCTGTTTGACTGCCACCTCTTTCACCAAGGGAATGGAGGAAACAGGAGTAAAGTTGTACATCCTAAGCCCATCAGTATGCACAGGACAGGTCTGCTGGTCATCAAGGCCATCATCTGACCCCCACTACCAGTACTTCCTCCGTATCTCAGCCTCTTCCCGCCCCACCTTGCTTCTTCTGGGTTTTTGGAGAGGGGAACTTTTAGTACATAGTCACAAATGACATCTTCTGTATCCATTGGC